AATGAATTATGTACTATGTAATCCCAATTTATTTATATTGTAGATATGGCTTATGGGTTATATTTACCTTTACCTTTAGTTACACACTGTAATAATTAGTTCAAATGAAAAAGTTACAGAAACCATAACAGAAACCTACCGATGAACTGGATCTTGGCTTCCTGAGAACTGAGGCCCTGTAGTTGTGACATCTGCTCCACACACAGAGAGAGGAGCTCCTCCAGATGCCCCTCGGGCTCCTGGGTGGGCACATACTGCCTCAGCTCCACTCTGACACAGGCAGATATCAAGAAAATATAGAGTGAGACCTGGTGTATTCTTACAGAAACAGTGGTTAACAATGTTTTTTTTTCTTGCACGAGAGTTTCATAGCTCTAGGGGGGGTTGAACAAAAGCACCAAAAGCTGAATGAAGTTTAACTGGTTACTAACAGTGACGGAGCACTCTGGAGTCCATCTGCCAATCTCTGAAGAGCAGTCACTTCTGCCATCAGCTGCACCCCCCCAGAGCCCAGAGGAATCTGCTGGCTCAGGTACTGCTCCAACAACTGCAATAGAATGCATAGACATGTACAGGGTTGTGCCCGCTGGGAGTGAGTGTGTAAAGATGAGAACAGTTCAAACCTGCTGGTAGTGGAAGTCAAGGTAGAGGTCATTGTTGAAGGACAGGGGGCTCCTCCAGATGACCCTCCTCAGGGACAGACTTATGGAGAGATCGTCAAGAAGGAAGTCAAAGACATATTCTTCAGGGTGGAGGGGTCTCGCCACGCCATCTGCCATACACAGTGTTGTGAATTGAGTGCCACTACCTACCTCTCACTTGTGTGCTTGATACTAGCAAAACACTGACCTAGAGATAAAGGCTACCCAAGGATCTGCAGTCTCTACTACTAGTCTTACTTCTTGCGTTGTTTATTTTAATTGGTAAAAAATGGTTATGATTTGAAATATTTATGCAAACAAAATTACCTTTATCTCGGTTGGCAATGATGGCAAATTCATTCACTTCAGCTGGGTTTGTAATGGCCATCTCACTGCAGACATCACTTACGACGTCTCTAGCCATCTGAAATGTGCAATATTCATGAGACAGGTGTACACACACTTTTACAAACATATTTATGCAATCTTACGCTAAAGCTGCGGATCTTTATGGGGATCTCCACTTCTCCTGGCAGGTTAACGCCGATTCGACGAGAGCTTTTTCCAGCCTACAGAGTCAAACATAACACTCTTGCTATATGTTTAACTTCAGTAAAAATGTGGTTGAAGGTTGAAGTACACTTGCCATGAGAGCTTCCATTTCTATTTCAGAAGGAATGGTCCGACGGCCTCCGAAAGAGAAAGAGCGCTGCAGGTTTTCAAGGCATACTGAGGCCAACTCTGTTAGAAAAAATGAAACAATTAACTGTGACTTAATCAAGGGAAGCCACTGATAGGTTGCTGGCAGAAGGTCAAATGACCCTGCAAGGTACTCACCATTTTCTAAAGATAACTGTTTCATACATATCACTGATACTCACACAGTATGATTAGTAGCAGAGTCTGGGTAATAGGCTCCTCACTTGGACATGTGTCTCGGATGCATGCAGTTTTACATACACAGTAAAATAACTTCTTATCATTTATACGAAATAATAAGGTTCAACCTCGAAAGTGGGATATATCCTGTCGCATGATATGCGTTGATGAGTAATGTAGCTAAAACTGCTGAATGAATAGGAAAAACAAATACTTTCGGCCATCTTGAAGTTGAATTTGGAAGGAAAGATAGCTGACTCGAAACCTCCTGTGATAAAAGGTTGCGTGGTGGGATTGCAAGCAAGTAGGCTCCACGGTGTTCGGACGGATAATCGAGACCGCCTGGAACGCATGTCTCTCCACGAAGATCAGCCAGAGATAAAAGATACAATAAACCAATAGAATGTCAGGAGATATTATTCAATTAGATCTCAGAATGAGCAGGGCCAGTTGGAAAACATTCACGCCTAGCATAGAAAGTTGAACTAGCTTGATATATAGAATACATAATGTTATTGGTTCTCTATATATTATTTTGATAAAGATGTAGCTCTTGTAGGCATTGTTCATGTGGATGTTGATGCAAATGGAGAAGATAAAAGATTAAGATAGTGATCAACTTATAAGAATCTTTCTTTTTGAAAATTGGGATATATGTGTGGATAATTGTTTGTTATAGATTCGCATAATTCGAACAATTATTGTGAAGAATGCTATGTTTGTAGTATTTCTATAATTCGTCTCTCTGCAAGATATTTCTGCCTTTTTCTCTAGAGAGCTTGATCTCTACAATACATCATACTTAGTAGAATGTCATACTTTAAGTAAAATTGATTTGAGTAACATAATGACGACATAGATTTAGTAAACTCAAAATGGAGAGGAATACACATTCCAGATTGCTCATATGTGAGTCTACTAAAGTAGATTATGTGGCCAGGGCATGTTTTGTGTTGGCTGTCGCTGCTCTGACTTGTCAGTGCATGATGCAGTCATCTCAACATAGAGAAAATTTGCAAATACAAGTGAACCTGGTTGCCAGGGTCTGTGCTAATTGCTGCAGATTAAAGACACATAGAACAATTTTTCATAACATATGGAGGCAGCGTGCGAAGGACATCACAATAACTAGAAGTTCAAGAAAATCGAGACGTACTTGCAAGGCTCCACTAGCACAGATTGAGCATATGGGATAAACCTTGAAAATCAAGCCAACATGAAAGGACGCAAATGTGAGATCATAATCTGATATTGGTGTTTAATCTCACTGTATTGCTCACAAATAGACATTACTCTGAGTAAAAAATTACTACCCATAATGTTTACGAGCATAAATAAAAAATATAGTCGGGGAAATCATATAAAATGTTGAGTGCATAGCTGAAAGCTAATAATAGTTGGTATATTCTCTTCTATATTATTTAATATGGATTGATATTAGGTAATTCTTATTTGTAATTGTAATGATATTATAACATAGTAAAAAGGAACTAAAAACTGAATACAAACTCAGGACTTAGAAATCAAGACCTCGTGCAAACACTATCGCTCGTCTTAACCTCTTGTCATTGTTAAAGAATTTGTATGTTGTACTTTATTTTTTTTAACATTAGTAATATTTGGCGCTGCGATAGCTGATACGTCTAAAGGACAGTTAATGTCACACACAGATCACTACCATTTGTCACCTCTGATACTGAAATTGCAGCAAAAGGATCAAAAATCCGAAAACTAATGTCTATGAAACATTAGTTAAGAATAATAGAGTCTAGACTATCTATTCAAAACCTGTTTTGTATATACTAACTTTAATTTTGATATAATCAATGTACTTGTATATTCTGGGGTCGATGTGGACTCGGGTGCTCTGTTTTATGTTTGCGCATCTTGGTCGATAACATCTCGCTTTTTTCCGGTCTCTCATAAGTGTAATCCTAGGATTGCTTTAAAATCTAATCTGAAAACATTGAATATCAAGGAGGAACACAATTACTTAATCTATTAGCTAATAACAAATTTTACTTTACGATAATATGGATGATATACGCTGCTGTGAAAAGCTCCTCAGCGGGCGCTCGATAAGCTCGTCTTCGGTCATGGCCAATTCAAGGCAGAAACTTTTAAATTAGATATAACTACGTGAATTGTATTATACATGTATTTTTGGATTAAAAATGTGATAATGAGTGGTTAATCTTGTATGGTATGGTGTGACCTGGTATCATACTGATAAACATTTCACACTATGCTTAATAACATGCAGCGACACACGAGAGGATTTACAGTATATGATCGACTCAGCAAATTCATATTACAAAAGTGCCATAGGGATGTAGTGACATGAATCAACTTCCAGCCGTTCAGCAATAGAGGCGCAAGAATCCTCCATAACTCTAATTTCTCCAGATGAGATCAAAATTGAGGAGGTTACTGATACAACAATATATTACGCTTGCTGTCCATTTTATGTTAAGGCAGTTATGTTGTCAAGTGCTTCTTTTTATGTTATTTAAGTTATCATAGTTTACACGTATGAGAGAATGTGGCGTATCTTCTTGTTTGGACGGGTAACTTTCGAGTGTGGTACTCTTGTGACGATATTCATGGGATCATGGCTGAGCTCTTCGTGGGAGTCCAGTTGACCTCAGGCTCGAAAGGACTAGCCATTTGTACAATAGACACTTTTTTATTTGAGGAACATCTTTCCGCATCTATGTTGTGCTGGCTCCTTATATGCTTGATCTCTCTTGTATTTCGTTACAGCGTATGAGACAGTGCGAGTAGTCTCGCGAAAGGGAAGAGACTCTAGCAGGATTGTTTGAAGATAGAGATTACGAATTAACATGGTGACGCGCAAATAACTTAACAGAGTCTTCACACCAGGACCATAATGCGCTACAAGAGGCCTGACCTGCCAACGGCTATTGGGAGATATATCTGTGTAAATAGCATAGAACGCCTTGGACTGTAGTCCTGTTAACTGAGATGTTAATGTAGCAGGAAGTGCACGAGTGGAAGCATTAAATGCAGATACTAAGATAAACTATGGATAACACTACAAAATAAGAAGAGAGATAATATTGATTGACGTGATAAGGCACTAGATAGATAACAGATTTTGATAATCTCAGATGAACTATGCATCGAGTGATGAAGGAACACCTGTTCTGGAGTACCTTCTGAAATGATTCAGCTTACTAGCCATTTCGGTTGATCGATGAATCTCATCAGTGATGAATATATGTAAACCTTAGAGGGCGATTGTGTTTCAATTGTGTTTTAAGCTCATCTGTTTTATCAGTGAGACTTACTTTTCTCGTGTATTGAACTTCGACAGGATATCACGTGAACGCAGTGAATAAAACTCCTTCGTGAGTTGACGTAAATATTTATTATGATAAGAGAAAGACTAGGATACTAGATTACGAGAGATACAGGACATCGCAGCTCAAGAAGTAGGCAATAAGGTATGACCGCAGATACGCTTAATATACGCGAAGGGATGAGATTGGATTCGTAAACACTCTAGGTTAGCATAGCAGCACTTACCATATAGTGATGGAGTGTAAATGTAGGAAGTGCCGAATGTTACTCATGGTCAGAAGATTTGAGGGACGACTAGGATAAGGGATATGAGAAACTGATAGGAATCTATGATTCTCCATGTTCAATGTATTTCCAGACGTCTAGACGCTCCGGGACTTATTTCTATCAGAAGGACGTGATATAGCTGAGCGCAGTCTAACATAATTGACTATCTAGAACCTCATGTCAACAAATGTGTAGAATGTATACTAAAAAAATAAAATAATAAAAAAAAAAGAAGATAATAAGACTGTAGAAGATGCGTACTACAAATACATAGGTACTCTTTAAAGCTATATATAATGTTCACTTTTTCTGATAAGAGACTATGAAGTGTCTCATTTCTGCCCCTAGAAGTGACTGTAATCAAACGAGACTCTTTGACTACTACAGATGAGCTCACTGGAGCGTCTGGAGTAAGGTGTTAGGGGATAGATTGATGACACGTGCGGATAGACCAATTGCAGCAGAGGGTGGATTCACCATCTCGAAGTTCGTGGGAACTCAAGCTCTATACTAGACTGTTTGGATCCTTGTAACAAATACATTGAACCAGTAACTGACACCATTCACGTTTGCTTTTGTACCGCAGTTTACCTCATCTTCGAGTGGCTGTAAGGCTTTATGTCCATATATAGTATATTAGAAGTTTATTGACTATGCCTAACTGCTGCACAGAGAGGATAATCCTAGGACTGATAATACCAGGATTCTCTCTTACATCGTTAAATCTACGGAAGGCCCAAGTTGCCTACTACTCGCAAGGCTAAATGGAAATCAAATTATCCTAACTTCTTCACACGCATGTATCATAAGCCATGTTTATCTGGATCAGCTAATTGTCTTAATTGCCTCTGGTGCCCCTAAACTTCATCAAAGATAGTGTTGCCTAGGTGCTCGATGTTAGGATTATGTTGATTTCATTCTCACATGTGATGGAGGCCTAATCCTATCCTGCTTAAAGTATTACTCTACTATTTACCACTGTAATGTCGTCCAAATGTATCACTAAATCTAGATATATAAGCAAGCCTCGCTGTGTATGATTGATTAGCAGTAACATGCATAGATTCTGTATGTCGCTCAAAATTACAGCTACCTTTAACATTTATGTGGAGTCTTACGAAAAATTGGGTATACCTGCACAAGTAGAATTTATCTATTTTCCTTCGCTCGTACGTTCTGCATAGGGGCTGAAATTCTAGATCGGAGGACTGCTAGATATGATTATAGATGTCCTCGATGGAGATAGGTATATATTGAAAACAAGGCAGCCAAAAAGACAGTGGAGCAATGTTTTCGTAACGCATAAATATTTATCAATTAATGAAACCAAAGGTTGGAAAAATCCCACAATAACATCACAATGGAATAGAACATGTTTCTTTTAATGTTGTTCACGAGAGATTATACGATACGATAGGCCCGGTTAAACACGCCATACTTCGCATGGGATATAATTGTTCGTGTTAATCTAGATAGTAGTAGAATGGAACTACTAGATACATCAAACTGCACTAGGTAGTTCATTGGATAGTAAGTTAACAAAGACATAATAAATAGATACAATCATAAGACCCTAGGTTGTAATACGTAGTGAATGTGAGTTTTAAAGATCGAGTATCATATACATATGGTTGTCATTTTACTTGCTGGTACACCTATTATTTGGGTGACTAAGCCTCAATTAAACATATTTTAATGTTATAGTTTCTTTTTAGTGTGATTTATTATTATAAGTTTTAGATCTGTTTGATGAGATTTCTTGCTCATTATTATATTTCAGTGTCATGTGCAGAGTTTTGACCAGGTAAGCACTTCTGAAAGACTTGTTTATTATGAATATTCGGAATTGTGTGGGTATATTTTCATAATCTCTAACACTATGATGCCATAATGACTCCGGCTTTATTGAATAGTAAAAATATGTTGTTAGCATAGTGACTATATTGTGACTCACACTTTGTGAAATCAGTAGTTTAATTTAAGTAATTGCTCAACTAGCACATCGTAGTACGAAGTTACGATATGAGAAATATAGAGAATTGCAACAGTGAAGGATCGATACCAATTTCTCAGTGTTACATACAAGCACTTATATAATCGAAACGACAAAGATATAATTGACTGGCTAATTGAATCAGTTTTGTATATTAATAAGGTGAAATTTGGAGACAGTGTTAATCAAAAAAAGTAAAGTGACTTTTGTATTTTTTCATATTTGAAGAAAATAGAAAGATAACAATAGACATTTAGATGATTGTTGCTTGCGCAGATGATTGTTAACAAGTTTAACTTCTCTATTAATTGAACATGGGTTCGCCACATAGTCTCCATAGTTGCATAAAGTATCAAATGGTTCAGATTTAGGTGGAGCAACAGTTCAAACATATCTCTGATGTATTTACATTGTTCTATATATATATATATGAATATATAATTCTCTAGTTAATTTAATTATATTATATACTATATAGATATACTATAAACACACATACAACATAAACACACACACAGTGGTACAATCTATACACACGCGGCAACAATTTTTTTGGTTTTTTGGAATTAATATATGACATAAGTTTAACTACAGTTTATCTTAATATAAATCTTAGCTCAGCACATTAAATTCAATAAGGATTGCCTGTTCTCATAGTCTTAACTGATAGCTTGAAAGATATAATAACTTAAAGGCTTCTTCATCTTATCCGTGTCCAATCATGTGCTTTGACGAAGATATCTCATGTATTTAAGCGTTAGTGTAGTCTCCTCTTACGTAGGAACAACTTGCCAGGGACTCTGGCGTAGGAGAGGTAGTTCTGAGGAGGATGCGATGTAATCAGAGGAAAGACCTTCATTCTTCAACTTAAAAAAAAAAAAAAAGTTAAAAGTAAAAGTTGGTAAATCTTACTATATGCAAATTTATATAAACACGTATTGTTATATGTATAGATTAGAGATTAATTAGTTTATAGTTTATATAATCAAAATTAATATAATTGTGATTTGGGCAAATGTGTAAACAATATTTTATATGGAGTGGGAGCGGTATTCCGGGGGTCCGGATGCGTAAAAAAGGTGCAGGCTCAGGTGGAGGGGAGGAGCTTCACGTGAGGAGGGGGGTTGAGGTGGAGGGGGAGGCATTTCAGTGAGGTGGAGGAGTGCTGTTTGAGCGCTGGGAATGAACAGCTCTTCCAAGGGCGCTGTTTCTGCTCATGTTGTTAGAATGGCTCTTCGCCCCCTAGTGGCACAGAGAGGGTGGTGGGAGGGGCCCTGGAGGAGGTGGCCGGTTTAGTTGAAGGGAGAGGTTAGAGGGGTCACTGTTTCTATGATCAGGATGCTTGTATAAGAGTGTTTTTTGTACAATACTGGACCATAGTTTTTTGATGTCACTCACGATTTGTTCTTTAGCTGGGGACTTATTTCTTAGTTTATAGAGCTTCCTGTTTAGGGTCAGTCTTCTTCCAAATTGCTTTTTACTTGGTCTATAAAAACAATAAACTTTTGGAATATAATATTATAAGAGTAAAAGTGAGCTGATGTGTCGCTCACCTGTTAGTTATCATATTTCCTGGAGCTGACCTGGCAGGCTGGATGACTACATGGTGGCAGGAGCAGACGGCTGTTGTACTGTTTGATGATTTCTTGATGTTGGGTGGGTTTAGGCGTGTTGGGTCAAAGGGCTTGGTTTGGGTGTGCTGTCTTTCTTTGGCAGGAGCAGGCTTTGGGCTCTTTGCTATGAGACAAATCAAAATGCCAAATAGCAGTTGTGCTACTAAATAGTACAGGCCGCACTGTGTTTTACTTAGGGCCACCTTTAGGTTTGGGTTTGACAGGGGAGGAGAGGGAGTGGACCGGGGTGGAGAGTGATGTTGTCTCACAGGTGGGAGGAGGAAGAGGGGCACAAGGGAGACACTGGGCGTGTTCACAGGTCGTTTTCTGCTAAAATGAAAGCTTTTTAACAAAGCTCTTTCACAAATGCCAAAATGAAATTCATCAACAGTTTAACATAAAAACAAATCAAATAGTGTTGAATATCTAACCCTTGACAAGATAGCTATATAACTAATGAATACATTCATAGAGTCATCAGGCTTATCTTTGGTAAAATGGTGTAACACCAATTTTCTCAAAGAACTTCCAATTGTCTCGGACTGATGCAGGTTTCAGGGTCAGGTAGTCTACTTTGTCTCTGGCTATAAATAAGAAAATACCAGTCAGTTTGTAATTTTAAAACTTTCAAACGCTGAGAAAAAATATGGACCTCTGGCTCAGGCTCTAACGGTGGTCGTTTGACAGCTGTTGTTTTTTTTTTAAGTGGTGAAGATGAGGACGCTGCTGGGAATGGTATTGGAGCGTCTTTGGGTTGCCTGAGAGGTTCTTCGTCTTCCTCTCCTCTTCTCTCCCATTCTTCCCGCTCCTCATTCTTTCTCTCTCTTCTCTCAGCCCTCTTTTGGCGCTGTTGTTTCTCTGCATCTCCTGTTGGCTGCTGCTGGAAGAGTATTGGCCTGCATGGTCATCTGGCTGAGCCTTGCTCCAACGGCACAAGACAATGGAGATAAAAACGCATTTCACTCACCTGTACAGATATAGTAAACAGTTCATCGACATAAGAAGCAGCTTGTTGGTTGATAAGGGCCTGTTGAGTGGCTGCCCATCTGCAATGGGGTCGCTTATGAGGGGGCCTCATCGGATTCCATCATAGGTTCAATCATCGGGTTTCATCCGCTGGGCTCGGTGGGCATCATGCATAGCTGAAACAGAGAGGGCCATTCATACTTTTAAGTTCATAAAATAGTAGTAGTTAATTAAACAAATGATGCATCTCATTTTAAAGTATCTGAAAGAAGATAATACACACTAAATGCTAATGGTTTTAAGAATATACAATAAAATGCAGTACTCTGAGCAAAACACTGGGTGTGGTGGGGTCACCTGGATGTTGGCATCATCGGGTGGTGGCCCGTAGACAGGCATGGAGGAGTCAACTGGTGCTCTGAAATACATGAAAACAATGATTAGTGTTAATCAACACAATAGCTCACAGATAGACACAGTACGACCATTCCCCTTGAATCTCAACAAGAACTCTATGATCTCGCGCATCACGGCCGATGCCTGGATTATGCTCGGGACCTGTCTAGGTCACATGAGGAGATCTTACTGGCTGGAGCGCAGCCAGGCCGTGGACAGAGTAGGCTCTAGAACTCCTCGCCTACTTAACAACGCCTGGGTGAACTCATTAACTTAGAGTGGTACGCCGTTTTCCAGATCTAACAATCCAAATACTGAGTGACCTCTCTCTTCTTCCACTGATCACTGCTCCATAAAGTCCATTGCGATTGGTCCGACTCCTCCTGCTCCTCTCATTCCTGCGGGTTTACTGGGGCAAGTCCGGTCGCAGCTATCTCGGCAATCCTTACGCACAGATTATTCATATAGCTTCTCTATACGTAACATTTTATGTTGCCAATTCACAGCTGATTCTAGGACTGACATAATGGGAGACAGTAGACTAGCAACATCGTCGATCTGTATCTCTCTTATCATAGGATGTTTACACATTTTAGTTCATGGAGTCTCTTGGTTGTATCAGTAGAGTTAAGCTATTTTATGATTGAGACAAGTTACGAGATGAAAATACCACACTTGCAAGGTTCGTATAAGTACCATAGATATATGCGTATATCGTCTTCAGTCGTAGTTATAATTATTGTTACCGACAATCTAGACACCGCTCCTGATCATGAAGTTACTCTTATTACTGATTTAAACCTAAATAGCGACAAGTCTGTCTATGTTTCCATGAGAGTGAAGTGTAGACATTTTTATATCATTAGATGATATGATAGATACAAACTCCGCAACTGTATACCCTCTAATATGAATTTTGCTATAGTCCAACACAATTTTATTAGGTTTTAACCTCAAAGTGAGGGCGTAAACAGTTGAATCAAATATTTGTAAGAGTTTTTATGTTTTGTTTTTCTTTTCTTTAGTGAAGGTTGTCTTGCTTAGCGATATTATGGTTGTGCTTAAAGTAACATATGTTGGATTCAATGACAGTCACGGTAGGTCCATTATCGTCGCGATCTGGCTGACAAACAAGTCATCCAAACATAAGCGTACGTGCGTGGCTGAGTTTCCAGGCTATTTCAATATCCTCTGCAGAGGCCTCGGCGCTTCCTGTGGGGTGTCCTTCTCCAGGGGTTTGCTTCTAGGTAATCAATCGGAAGTTTCTGGTGGCTCTGCACAATATGGGATGTGAGCGCGGTGGATAAGCCAATGCCAATTGAGAGGCAGTCCTGGGCAGAACAAAGGTTGTCCAAACATTGAAGAATTATTTGAGGTGGTCTGTGTGGAGTGTGCATGTTCTCACCATGTCCTGATCCAATGTAGGTTTGGTTTCATGTTTAGGGTAGTCCCATTTTACGTCCAGTTTTGATGCGAAAGTGTGAAGGCACCTTTAATTGTGCACCTCAAATTTCTTCAAGTTTGACAACCTTTGTTCTGCCCAGGACTGCCTCTTCAGATCTGGATGGCTTTATCCCACCGGCTCCTCCCATGCAAGCACCAGAACTTCCATTACCAGAAGCAAACCCCTGGAGAAGGGACTACCCACAGGAAGGCCGAGGTCGGCAGATGGACGCTTATGTTGATGACTTGTTTGAGCCAGTGCTGGATAATGGACCTCCGGTTAGTCATGACCACAATGTGTACTTTAAGCACACCAAATGAAAGAAGACACACCTTCACTGAAAGAAAGAAACAAAACATAAACTCTACAAATATTGATCAAGTTTACGCCCTCACTTTGAGGTTAATGGTTGGCTGAAATTCATTGTAGAGGTCAGGGAGTTGTATCTATAAAACACATATATTGATTAATGTCTAACTTCACTCTTAAGACTAGAGATGTATTTAGGTATAATAATTAATATCAGGGCTAGATTGTCAAAAATTATTACGCTGAAAGATTCTATATGAGCTTTTACAACCTGCATATGTGGTTTTTCATTTTCTAATTGTCTCAATCTAGAAATATACTGAATGTATATCTAAAAAAAAACATATTTTGATGTCTATTTCTCCCATTATAGTAGAATCAGCTATTTGGCAACATAAAATTGTTACAAAAGGAGCTATATGATATATCTGTGCGTAGGATGCAGAGCGAGTGGCCCAGCTAAACCGCAGAATGAGAGGAGCAGGAGGAGTCGGACCAATGCGCAATGGACTTTATGGAGCAGGTATGAAAAGATAGTCACTCAGTATTTGGATTGTTAGATTGGATAAACGGCGTACCACTCTAAGTTAATATTAACAGCTTGTTAATAGCCTGACTTATCTAACTTTCTTTCAGGTGTACCTATGTCAATGCCTACTTATCCAATGGGTATGCATATTGTTTGTTGTTATTAAGGGTGAATGGTTGTCTGCATGTGAGCTATTGGTGTTGATTAACACTAATCATTGTTTTCATGTCATTTCAGGAGCACCAGTGACTCCCTCCATGCCTGTCTACGGCACCAACCCGATGATGCCAACCATGCCAGGTGACCCACACACCAGTGTTTGCTCATAGTACTGCCATTTATGTTATATTCTTAAACCATAGCATTTAGTGTGTATTATCTTCTTTCAGATACTTTAAATGAATGATCATTTGTTTAGATTAACTACTACTATTTTATGAACTTAAAAGTATGAATTGCCCTCTCTGTTTCAGCTATGATGATGCCACCGAGCCCAGCGATGAACCCGATGATGAACCCTATGATGAATCCGATGATGCCCCCTCCCATAGCGGACCCCATGCAGATGGCAGCCACTCAACAGGCCCTTATCAACCAACAAGCTGTTCTTATGGTGCGATGACTGTTTTACTCATATTGTACAGTGTGAGTGAAATGCGTTTTATCTCCATTGTCCTGTGGTTGGAGCAGGCTCAGCAGATGACCATGCAGGCCATGACTCTATCCCAGCAGCAGCAACAGGAGATGCAGAAGAAACAACAGCGCCAAAGAGGGCTGAGAGAAGAGAGAGAAGAGAGAGAGGAGCGGGAAGAAAGGGAGGAGAGAGAAGAGGAGGAGAGGAGAAGGAAGAGACGCTCTCAGCGCAAACCCAAAGAGCGCTCCAGATCACCATCTCCACCGCGCTCCCCTCCATCTTCCCCTAAAAACAAAACAACAGCTGTCAAACGCACCACCAGTGTCAAGAGGCCTGAGCCAGAGGTACCATATTTTTTCTCAGTTTTGAAAGTTTTATGAATTACTAAACTGACTGGTATTTTGCTTTATTTATAGCCAGAGACAGAAGTAGACTTACCTGACCCTGAAGACCTGCAGTCAGTCCGAGACAAGTTGGAGTTCTTTGAGAAAATTGGTAGTTACACCATTTCTACCAAGAGATAAGCTCTGATGGACTCTATGTAATTGTATTCATTATAGTTATAGCTATCTTGTCAAGGGTTAGACTATTCAACCCTATTTGATTTGTTTTTATGTTAAACTGTTGATGAATTTCATTTTTGTGCATTTTGTGAAAGAGCTTTGTTAAAAAGCTTTCATTTTAGGAGAAAACGGTGTGAAACAGCGCCCAGTGTCTCCCTTGTGCCCCTCTTCCTCCTCCCCACCTGTGAGACAACATCACTCTCCACCCCGGTCCACTCCCTCTCCTCCCCCTGTCAAACCCAAACCTAAAGGTGGGCTAAGTAAAAACACAGTGACGGCCTTTAGCTATTTAGTAGAAAAATGCTTATTTGGCATTTTGATTGTCTCATAGCAAAGAGCCCAAAGCCTGCTCCTGCCAAAGAAGACAGCACACCCAAACCAAGCCCTTTGACCCAACCACGCCCTGAACCCACCTCAAACATCAGAGAAATCATCAAACAGTACAACAGCCGTCCTGCTCCTGCGCCAGTGTCCATCCAGCCTGCCAGGTCAGCTCCAGGAAATATGATAACTAACAATGTAGCGACACATCAGCTCACTTTTACTTTTATAATATTATATTCCAAAAATGTTTATTGTTTTTATAGACCAAGTAAAAAGCAATTTGTGAAGAAGACTGACCCTAAACAGGAAGCTCTGGATAAACTAAGAAATAAGTCCCCAGCTAAAGAACAAAAGGTGAGTGACATCAAAAACTATGGTCCAGTATTGTACAAAAAACACTCTCTTATACAAGCATCTCTGATTCATAGAAACAGTGGACCCCTCTACCTCCTCCCGTCAAGGCTAAACCGGCCCCACCTCCTCCCAGGGCCCCCTCCCCACCACGCTCTCCTGTGTCCACTAGGGGGCGAAGAGCCATTTCTAACAACATGAGGCAGAAACAGCGCCCTTTGGAAGAGCTGTTCAGTTCCCAGCGCTCAAAGCAGGCACCTCCTCCACCTCCACCTGAAATGCCTCCCCCTCCACCTCAAGCCCCTCCTCCTCCACGTGAAGCTCCTCCCCCTCCACCTGAGCCTGCACCTTTTTTTTACAGCATCCCGGACCCCCCGGAATTAGCCGCTCCCACTCTCAGTAAGAATATTAGTTTACACATTTTCCAAATCACAATTATATTAATTTTGATTATATAAACTATAAACTAATTAATCTCTAATCTATACATATAACAATACGGGTTTATATAGAATTTGCATATAGTAAGATTTTACCAACTTTTACCTTTTAACTTTTTTTTTTTTTTTTAAGTTGAAGATGATGAAGGTCTTTCCTCTCGGTTACATCGCTTCCTCCCTCAGAACTACCTCTCCTACGCCAGAGTCCCTGGCAAGTTGTTCCTACGTAAAGAGGTGACTACACACGCTTAATACATGAGATATCTTCAGTGCACAAGCACAGTGATTGGACATGGATAAGAGGAAGAAGTTTAAGCTTATTATATTCTATTAAGCTGTCCTATTAAGACTATGGAGGAACAGGCAATCCTTATTGAATAATTCTGAGTAAGATTTTTTAAGTAAATGTGTTACTTATTGTCTATATTAATCAAAACAACCAAAAAATTGTGTGCGCGTGCGTGTGTGTGTGTGTGTGTGTATGTATGTGTATATATATATATATATATATATATATATATATATATATATATATATATATATATATATATATATATATATATCAGTTTATTGCTTAACTTGTTTTATGCAACTATGGGGGCAAAATTTTGACTAATCTGTTGAATCTTTATTGACCTTGCATTGAAAAAACCTGTAATGTCAGAGCTTTAAAAACAATTCATTATTCTACTTTGGATGTTATAATGCTTTGACAATGACTGTATCAATCCAATCCAATCGAACTTTATTTGTGTAGCACATTTTATAAACAAAACAGTTTCCAAAGTGTTTCACATAGCAATGCAAAACATTTTACTTTAAAAAGCATTTAGATAAGGTAAAGAGCTGTATAACACAATTCGTACACAAACTAATTCAAAGTGCTTTACAGAATGAGAAAGACAAGAATACAAAAAACATAAATAATCATCATAAAAAATAACATTAAAAGAGAAGAGTGTGGAATAAATGCAGATAACCATTCACTCTCACATTCACTCGTGTACACAGGCTGATGTTGTACTTATTGTGCTTATCGTTAATCAATCTTCTTTTCAGGTGTTTTATCCTAGAGAGCTGTTTAACCGGGCCTACGTTCTCAATCTTCTGTGTGAACAGGTTAGTATGTGGGACTTCACCTTTGTTTATTCATTTTGATAAATTTTTCTACAAACATCTGGTGTTTCAATTAGATCATGAGAGACACGTACTCAGACAGCTGCCTCCGGATCAGCCGAGAAGAGAGGAGGAAAATGAAAGATCTACTTGGTGAGAGACCATGATTTTTTATTACACTACAGGCTATGCATTTACACAGGGCTTTAGCTGTTTAGGCATTAAGTGGAGAGGCTACAGGTCTCAAGTAATCATCTAATCACATTAGCAAACTTCAGTGTTGGCACAACAATAAGCACGATCCAGGATGACTTCATGAAGAAGAGAATTGTCATTGCGGCTCGAGACAACTGGGAGAACTATTTCAGCAGATTATTTCCTGTCAAGGTTGGCATGCAATTACATAATATGACATTAACAAAGCCAAAATGTTAAACTGTGAGTAAACTGTGATGTGCAGGTGGGCAGTCAAGATGCACAGATTTTAGGAGTGACCCATCGAGGGATCCGCCTCCTCAAGGTGGTCCGTGCCTCGGGTATCAACCCCAAACACCTCCGACTTCTTCGTAGCTACAGGTATCAGTTCTTTCATACAGATTCTCTGGAGATGGATTTATGGTGTTTTTAGCAGTACCTGGTTACATTGTGACCTTTAACATCTTTTTTTTTTTTTTTTTTTTTTTTTTTTTTAGTTTTGCAGAGATGATGTCTGTAGAGCTCAGAGGTCCAGAAAAAGTGGAGGTGGAGCTGAAAAACGAGAACATGGTGCTTCAGTCTACCAGGGCTCCTCAAATCTCTGCCATGATCAGGCACTTCCTACATGAACTCATCCAGGTAAGTGTGCTACTACTGGTCTATTCCATTCCAGGTTATTGTGGTCTACTGCAGTCTGGGCTGTGTTGTATACAGTGTTTCTTCATAACATCCTCCCCACAGGGCTCAGGTCACGTGGTGGCACTGAAGAGTCACATAACAGATGACAAAAGCATGCTCAGCTTCACCAGAGGAGATGTCATCAGACTGCAGGCGGTAGAAGGACTCCAGACAGGTGTGTTCCTTTTCACACCATGAGTCTCTAGTCAAAATGTACATGTTACTGAAGCAATCAAACATATTATGTAGAACTTAGTTTCTTTAATGTCTCACTACTGTCACAACTGTCTTCAGGCTGGATGTTTGGTTCCACCGGGGGGCGCTCTGGTCTGTTCCCAGTTGAACTCACTCAACCTTCTGCTGCTCCGGACTACCACGGTCTGCACCTGGACCGAAGAGATGAGAGGAGGAAAAGCATGAGGAGCATGAGGCCTCCCCCAGGGCCTGCTCCACAGGGGCCCATG